GACCTCATTGGCTTTTCATACGTAAAAATTACAACATTTACCTTGATAGTTTATAATCAATGCCTTAAATACCGATTAAAAGTTACTCTATTTGCCCCCCCCCCAATGCCACAGTTTTACACGTGGCTACTGTATGTGGTGGGGTAGGAAAGGAACAATTAAGTAAATCATCTGAAATAACCAAATCCATCGTCAATACCATAAAGGTATTTTAAAGCCTTCGGAATAATTGTACATACAACATTGCTTAGGAAATATCGTACTTTGATAAGGTATATATACGCCAGGGGCAATTAAATCATTGCCTGAGCGAGACGTTTGTATAAGCCGATGGCACTTGAAAAGTCGTATACGAGCTTCAGTGTCAAAGTACAGAATTATTGAATTCAATTCATTATTGTATAGAAGGGGTGGGAAGCGACGAGAATTATGATTGCACATAGGGTTACTAATATCGAAAGTTTGAGAAGCGCTGCACCAAGGCATGTACGGCTTTTTGCCGTTTCGAGAATACATTCAAGAGTCGTTACAGTCCAGAGATGTTCCAGGAGTATCACGGCTGGATGGTTTTAGCAGAAATGACCGCCAATACTATTCAATGTGAAAAAGGTACAAAAATCATAAATGTGAATAAAATCGAAACACAGAAAGAAAAACTTTTTGGAACTAGTTTGATATCACGGGACAAAGCACTGTTGGGTCTTCCTGCAGTTGAATTAAATATTTAATTCCATCTACCGGATTAACCGTTTACTATTTTTCTTCAAACCACTCCATTCAATTTACAACTGTATATACAATACATGTCACAGGAAGACTGCAGGCATCTACTTCTCTATCTATTGCATTTGTTCTTCAAGCTACCATTGCATTCTTCTGTTGAGTTTCGTGCTATTTTCGAATATGGATATATTTAATATCATTGGCGACTACAAGGATTTTTTTTAAAAGAAAAATGAGAGATGCGATTTTAATTACTGTAAATCGCACATTTCCACTTTATTTTACCTTTTGATAAAGCTTTTTTGGAGGAAATGCAATGTAGGAATTTTCAGTGTTTGGAGTACTGAAAGTTATCAGCACTTATTAATTGGTAATCATAACTTTTAATACATATTATGCAATTTATATACAATAGAAAAACAATATGGGCATCATATCTAATATTTTGTACAATAACTATTAGATTCTATTATATGACAATAGAATATTAAGTAACATAATTTTATTGTATTACATTGATATTCGTTATTGATCGATATTGGTCATTTATAATCTATTCTTCATTTGAGAAATATTTAAAAACACTTACAATTTTTCCGACTATTTGTTACCCCTAGGCCTTAATGTTGGATTCCATGCACTTAGTCTTAAAAAAATGCTCCATGGCGCACAGCACTCCTGTATCAAATTACTTCCCAAATCTTACTTTGACACCAGCCAAAGTCAATATGGAAGTATTTAGAATGTATTAAAGCGTAATTGTTTCCAGTGCCCTCTGAACATGAAAGGATTCCTCCTATCTTAACGTCACAGCTTATTTTATACAAGATATTCAATGTCGGGAATTTGCGTTCAGAACCATATACAGGCTTCAATAAATTAGCAATAAAGTATCTTAAATTATTGGATGTGCGCATCTGCGATCGAACTGCTAGTTGAAGAATATTGAGATATGCCCCCCATCTATGCAGTTATAGCCAATAATGACGCAAAAAGTGTATTGAAGAGACTTACCCAAACTAATAATACAAAGGAAATTGCGGCAGGAAGTAGAGCAATCCACCACTTGAATCCTTCCACAAAAACAGAACTAATTGCAAAGATAATTCCAATAGCGAAATAAGTAAAGAATAATATCAGTATAAGTCTTGTAGCCAAAGCACCATTGTTCGGCTGAAAAAATATACAATTGAATAGAGATTAATGCAAGAATCTGTAAACACAAACTATTCCAAAAGCCATGATTTTCGCCTAATATAGAGTTTAATTTTGACGCCATTTAAAAATTTTATTTGCTCTTAAAGAGCCTTTTTAGAGCTTTAAATACAGCATTCACAAAAGACAAGTTTTTTGCAAATTTAACTTCAAACTACACTCTTTAAAAATCAAGTGCACAAGAATAACTTTAGGACACTTTGGATAATGATGCTTAATACTAAATAGTGCCTCGACAATTGAACATGTTTTTAGTCCACTTGCAATACTCCGACAAAACGAAAATATTTAGAAGACAGGAATTCTATATACATGCAGAACATTCTTCCATGTCATAGAATATCACTTTTCAAAATTCGATTTGGGATGAATTTTGGACGAGTACCTCAATATACAGAAGGCAATGAAAAATTTCTCTTACAAGGGGAAGGCACGACTAAGGAAATACAATTTGGTATAATATTAGCACTCCATTAGGGTGTTCAACCCCAAATATATTAGTGCCGAATGGCCAGTCCACTTGGAGAAAATAGCCTTCGAAATTTAAAAACGGCATTAAATATAAAAAAAAATTTATTTTAATTTATGAAATACAAAATTACTGTAATTATTACACAATTTAAATATTAAACGATACTTTATATAAAAATTAGTTACAAATAGTTTTATAATATGAAACACACAAAAACGTTACATAATCTATAAAATTAATTATTCTTATTAAAATTTTTTAATATTATTTATAAAACAATTGCGTCTTTTATACAATTTTATAATTATGAAGTAATTAGTAAATCCTCTTTGGATTAAAATTTAAATAAATTTTAAATGGATTGATCTAGAGATTTGAACCCTATCCGTTTATGTAGAAAGCAGGTGCTCTGCCAACTATGCCACTGCACACATTTAAAACAATGTATAAAAACTAATTACGAGTTTCGAAGGCCATTTTCTCCGAATTGACTGGCCATTCGGCGCCAATACATCGAGGGTTGAGCACCGTAAGGGAGAACCACTATTACAAAAATAACGTCCCAAGTTGAATTTCCTTAACCATGCCCTTCACTTGTTAGTTGCAGCATAGCACGAAATGATACATGATGTTTTAAAATATCTTAAAAATTCCTATCAAGAGAAATTTAGAAAATTTGTTTGGATTAGAGTTTTTGAAGTGAAACTTTAGGGGTGGGAGTGAATGGGAAAAATTGCCCAGTTGTGCGTAACAGTGAAAAAGCGAACGGAAATAGTTATCCCCCCCCATCCACCAGAAACGCCGCAATGGTGAGGAAATAGCAAGTGGGAGGAAAGATTGCGAGTGGTACACCACATGACTTGCATCCCTGAAAAAGCTGAACGATTGCCAAGGGGGAATTATGCATCAGATGTATATGTTGTTGCTATGAATACTGATGACAATGAATACAGATTCTAGAGAAGGAAAAACAATATACGTAACGACAATTGATGCAGTTCTCACATTTTCTTGATCGACTATAATCCAGGACTTTCTTTATCCTACTTCAGTTACCACACACCAATTGTGTTTTTCTTAGAAAATGATGCAGAAAATTGAATAAAAATATTTTCATACAATAAATGAAGTTCGAATTTTATTTGACTAGAGTAAGTTCTCTCAGCAATTTAATACAATTAGAACTATTCCTGCATTTACAAAGAACGTCGCCAATGAAGTTTTGCTTCTATCGCGTAGCTTTCCACGTTCTTTTTTTCTTCATCAGATTACTGTAGAAGTATTTAGACTAAGGGTTTTATTCTTATTTAACAGAAGAATTTATTAACATAATATAGTTCAGAATGATAAGCATCTGAACGTGGCATTTAGTTTAACTCCCAATACTTTAAAATTTAAGTCTATTACACGAATTTATGAAAAGATGAGAAAATAGCTTCAAATTGAACATTTAAGTGCAAGTTTATATGTACACATTAAAGGTCGCAAGTTTTTACAGTTTTTATTTTTTATTTTTATACATAAAATAATTATTTCGGAGTCAGATTTAAAAAGTGTTTTTACTAAGATTACTTGCCATACATATAATATATAATCACATAAAATGAAGGAGAAAAACCCTTAAAAAGGATTTACTTACATAATCGCCGAGTCTTGGATAACCTGTATGGCGAGATCTAGAAAGCATTGTTGCACCAGTTAAGAAAATAAAAGAAGAACAAAAAAGAAATCTGAATGCAGATATTAAAGAACTTGCTTACATTTTCATTTATATCAAGGATACTTATGCGCAGATAACTGAAAATGAAATTACGGAGTACCATCAACCAATTGATCGAAGGGATGAAACAATTTGCGTTATATTAAATTGATTGATGTTTATTGACGCCACAGTCAAAAGCAACTCGAAGGGTATCAGCGAGGGATCTTGTGATTTTAAACCATGGTCAAATAACGAGGACGATACTTGTACTGGCACCTTACTTTCCGAACTCTCATATCAAACCAGTATGTGAAATTTGACGTATTTAGTATGTATCCTCTCCTCTACATAACTGGTCTTTAGTGGCCCCACTGCTAGAGAGATGTAGAAAATCTTTATTAACGTTGCATTGTAAGACAACACGAGGGATTTACCCATGGATCTCGTAATTTTGAACCATTGTAGAGTGACAAGGATGACACGTGAGCTGGCGTTCCCCTATCCAATAATCTTCCGCTCAAAGTCAACGGAGAAACATTGAGCTTCAACAGATTTAACATGCATCGGCCCATCTATACGGTGGTTGACATAGAGACTAAGGGACTTGGCACCCCAAAAATCATTTTTTGTGTTTTTGTTTATTTAGTTACATTCTTTGCACTATTATCTTTCGATGGATACATCTATTTTGTATGCCTGAAAATTAGAAGTGAAAAAACACTTCAAATGAAATTATAAGCAAAGTAGGATACTTTTGGATAAAGAAAAGCTATTTTTTAAAAAAAAAAAACATCTCTCAAATCCGAATCTTAAATCCTGTGAAAATCGTTGTGCCTTGGTTTCGATAACAAATAATTTTAAATTGAAGTAATAAATAGTAAGTAAGGCCATCCCAGGTAAGATTCGAACTCATGCTCTTCGGATTAGAAGTCCAATGAGCTATCCAATGCTCTACAGCAGGGGTGGGGCATTAAGTTGATTACGATCAAATGGTGGACCGCCAAGATATTTAGGGGTGACTGCCTGAAGATTAGCAGTTAGTAAATATATATAGAAATATTCTAGATTGTCTGACAGTATGCAGACTAAGTCAAGTAGTGACTATAACTATAAGCATTAACTTAAAAAAAATAAAGCATTTTCATCTAATGTACAGTAGAACGTCGTTTACTCCAATCAATTGGGACTGGACACCGTTCGGATACGCGATTGTTTGGATAAAATAAAACCGACTGCGATTCATGCAATATGTGATACTGGATACTATACAAATATTGAAAATCATCACATGCGGGAAACGTGCTTGAAGAAAAAGCAAAATAGATGTAAAATGTCTCAATTTTATCTTGATTGTGGAAAATTATTACTTAGGTTTCGCGGTGCCATTGCACACCTTTGTTTTTTCACTGCAAGGTCTCTGATTCTCTTCCGCAGCAGTAGTTGAGTAGGACAGCACTCTGATTGATGTTCGTACTACTCCATAGATGCCTCTAACGCAGAAATGCGTCAGCATTTGATGGACACTTGCTACTTTCGTTGTTCTTGTCTTCATCCGTTTCATCGCCGACAGGGTCGGATTCTTCTTGCACGGAAGTCCCAATCTCGTCATTATTTAGCATTTGAAATCTACATTCTTCTAGATCACATGCCATCCAGGTTTTTACATCAAAAAAACTCAACGAAAGAGTACGTATACACCCCCTCACTTGGAAACAATCCGACCTAATTTTCCGCGCAGGTGTCTACAAAATCTCTCTCTCTCAATCAACTAAAATCTCCCAAATATCTCTGACTTTGGGGCTTCCTGCCACTTTTGGCCTCACACGAAACGACTGTTGAGCATTGCACTGTTCAAAAACGTATGCGGATTTTGGTTCGGATATTTGACGCTTCGGATAAACGACGTTCTACTGTATTTTGAATTGCTTCGTAACCACTGCATTATATTTGATATTTTTATATTTATGGCTATTATTATTACATTTGTATCTTGCGTTTTGTCTTTGAGTAGTCTTAAAAGTAAGTTTATTTTATTATCGCTAGTAGAAAAGGCCATATTCCGTATTTATTATTTTGTTATGATACATATATTCTAGACTTTTTCACTCATTCACACATACGACACTGGGCAATAGTGCACAAAAGAGTTTTTCAAAAGGATGGGGGGGGGGGGGTTCCGGTCGAATGTCCACCTCTCGCATCGTAACACAGTTTACAGACGAACATATTTTTATGATTTTATAGATTGTCGGGAATAAAAAGCTTTCAAAAATAAATTATTGCACAAATAATTAGCATTAATTAATAAAAAAATATGAATGACAAATGCTTAATTAAATTTTACGTACTATATACATGGGATTATAATCAATCACAAAAAAAAATCAAGGGCTATGGGAGAGGGTCAGTACCCATAGACCCCTCCTCCCTTGGGGGCGTCACTGACACCGTGTGGACCGCAACACCTTGAAAAAACTAGAAGTAGCCCGTACCCTGGAAAAGTCTGCCCACTCCTGCGCTACAGAGACACACGACGAGTTAATTTCCTTTCTACATGTGGTGTTGGATCATTATTATTTTTTGTTTGTTGCTATTTATTCACTAAGTTGATTTAATTAATGAATTAATATTTGAAGAAACTATTAACATCAGATGTCATACCCATTACAAGTTTAAAAAATGTATTTAAACTTGAGTGGATGAATAAAATGCATTTTAATAACGACTGAAAATTTTAACACGATATATATAGAGAATGTGTGATTTAATATAGGAATTGAAAAAGCTGGTAGCTATTATATCTTAGTAATTAACGAGCGCATCAAAAACTTCCATTTTATTCACATGTGTTTCCATTGTATTGATAACCAACTTTATCTGGATTTGCTTGATATGCAAAATACTTTTTAAAACTCAACTTTTTATTCATTCTTTTAGTTTGGTGGCATGAGTTTAGTTTTCTTCATCTCATTTTACCACTTTGGCATTGACATACCATTGCATTTGCTCTTTTTTAAATATTTTTTACGAATGAGAACAATACTTTAATAAAATGAATTAGTTTCCAAATATGTTAATAAGTTATTCTATAACTTGCAAAAGTCATCAATTGGAACTTTTTGAAAAAAAAAACAATATTTAGTGATGAAAGTAAATTCAACATTTTTGGCAGTGAGGGCCGTCGCACGGTATGGGGATAGCCCAATATTGCTTTGAATCGAAAAAACTACATCCTACAGTTAAATATTGTGGTGGTTTCGTCATGGTTTTGGAGTTGTACGGCTTCATCCGTGGTAGGAAATTTAATTGTTGCAGATGGCATTATGAACTATATTCTTTTTACCTGGATATACTTCTTTAAAATCTAAAAGAAAGTGCTAAGAAATTAATGGAACTTTCACATTCCAGCAGCACAATGACCCCCAAAACATGACATGTAACATCAAAAAATGGGGTATCTTATTCCGTGTTTAAACCACATTTACACACACTACCATAGTCTCCCGATATCAATGTCATTAAAAACTTCTAGACATACTCTGAAAAAGGGATCCAAAAACGCAAAATGCTTTATGAAAGCCAAATGACATGAAACCAAATATTAACACTTCCTTCGTATGGGAGATGTCACAAAAACTTCTTTGGTTTATTTTCAACTTTTGAGATAAAAATCTGCATATGTTTATTTAAAATACTTCCAAAACTTTTTCGGAAGTATTTAGTTGTGTGTGCGTGATTGTCATTTTTACTTTGAATTAACCTATTTGTTATGTTTCAAAATAAAGCGTGTTTTAAGTTCTGGTAATGTTTTTTTTTATATTAATCAAATAAAAGTAAAGTGTACTCTGAATTGTTTGAACCACTGTATAAAGAATGCTTAAAATTTCATGGTGTTCTTTTTGAATCAGTTAACATATTGATATATTTAATATTCTTTTAAAGACCCTTATACAGAAGCAAGGAGCTATTTAATTTGTTCAAATTTAGAACTGTATCTCTCATCCAGAATCTGACATCATTAACTTCCTCAAAGTACAGCGAATAAAATGGGCAGGCCACGTTGTCAGAAAGGATGAAGACCGCACCACTAAATGTCTTCAATGACCAACCAATTGGCACATGAACAGAAGGCAGGCCAAATTTATAATGGATTAAAGGCATGAAAAAATTATCTCCTAATTTTGAACTAAGATTAGAGAACACTAGCACACACACACACAGTAAGGCTTCTTAAGAATTCCCAGGCCAATCTTGGCTTTCGAGCCATTGGGGAAGGAAGGGATTTTATTTGGTAATTTTTCACACATATAAAATTAAAAGTTCAACTACTTTTGTAATAGGAAACATTTTGATGGAGAAAAAGAAAATACATGTATATTGTATGAAAATTTGAGTATTATTTAATTTGTTGAATTTTATTATTTAAGTTAACCAGAATTCAACAAAAGTACGAAAAGTGAATGAACAGTACGTGGCATCAAGTTCCAAAAGATTTTAATTTTGAAATTTCCCTATGGTTTTTTTTGAACTTACTGCTTCGCTCAATTGAGCGATAACACAAGTGTTTAATCATGCAAAGAGTGTCTGGTGTACCGTTTCATTCTACCGCAACGCAAAAGTGGTAGTTTTGAGGTTCAACATTTCCGTTCACGCGTCTATGGTTGATTGTCCGTTCAGTGACACCATTAAAGCCGGATTGCGTTATTTGTACACGTGTTACTGAGCGTTGAAAATGTTCAAGATGATTGCTCTGAAAACTGAAGTGCCTTTTTTTTGAGCCAGTGATTATTTTTTTTTTTTTTTTTTTTTTTTTTTTTTTTTTTTTTTTTTTTTTTTTTTTTTTGAAAATATTAATAAAATTTTTTTTTTTTTTTTTTTTTTTTTTTTTTTTTTTTTTTTTTTTTTTTTTTTTTTTTTTTTTTTTTTTTTTTTTTTTTTTTTTTTTTTTTTTTTTTTTTTTTTTTTTTTTTTTTTTTTTTTTTTTTTTTTTTTTTTTTTTTTTTTTTTTTTTTTTTTTTTTTTTTTTTTTTTTTTTTTTTTTTTTTTTTTTTTTTTTTTTTTTTTTTTTAATTTATTATTGATAATTTACTATTCAAATACTTTTTGCCGTACTGATACAGTTATATGTATCTAATATCAGTGTGAAAAGTGTGTATCAAGTATCTATATCGGCGTTTTTGCATCCTTTCAGTAAATTGATAATTATTGTGAATATTCTTTTATTTTTCGATTGACTTGGCCCATTTTATCATGTCATATCAGATTTAGTCAAAACCGATTATGTACATTGTAACAATTCTTTGAGCTTTGATTCTAGGATGCATGTAGTGTAAAATGCTTTCTGGAAATACAGTAAAAATTACCTCTTACGGCCTCTGCAAACACAGTTGGATTTAAACATACGTTTGTTCGAATATTATTAGATGTTTTGTGAATGCTGTTGACACTCCAGCAGTTACTCGAGGCATTTTCCATACAGTTTTCTTTCCAAGTATATATTTTCTTCAAACCAATAATGAAACGTTTGTGGAGAAGGAATCTTTCCCAACCATGGTTATTTAGATATACTTCTCTATGCTAATAGTAAAATGTTACTAGACTTATTAACAAGGAGCACAAGAATAAAAGATCCTTTCGGATGTAATCTTGCATAAGTGATCGGCTTAAAGTTAAGGCGCATATAATCGCAGCCACTCCATCCCCCTGTAAAAAAATAGTTCCCTCGCACCAACCCAATATAAGCAATTTTAATTTTAACGAGTAACTGGCGTCTCCGTTTGACAGTACGCAACTATAAGTGTCACAGAAACTGGGTGATGATGAGTATACACGTTAATCACAGAGTAAAAGTGTCACTGTTAAAATATTGGATCAAAAAGACGTATTTATTTTGGAAAATAACCAAATAAGTATTAATAATAAAAATGGCTAACAAACATATTGCATACCTATGCATTTTTATGG